TACTCAATTCTCACTTAATTTAGTTTTAATTCATTGTAATAATTGCATTGATTTCGCTATTGATATGAAATCATAGCTAATTTTAACTAAACTCAACGCAAATAATAAAAATAAAATTTTAAACAATGAATAAATGTTAGCAATAATATTAATAATCGAGTTATCAATTCGTGAATAAATGAATCAATTCTTCAAATATATCCAAATATAAATCGATTCTATGATTGAAACAAATATTTATTGAATACAAGTTATAATTGAATTGATTTTTACATATAAATTGGGAAAATCTTGGTTTAAAGCGCTTACAAACAAAACCTGAAAATATGAATAAAAAATAACAATCAAATCATTTTAACCGTAATTATAAATCATAAGAATTTTCTATTATTGTTATGTTTTGAGGAAATTTGTTACAAAACCCTATTTATGAGACAAAAATCAGATAATTTGTGGGAAAATAAGGAAATTGTATAAAACAACAGTTTTAACGATCATTTAATCGTCAATTTAATTCCCATTTAATTAATTCATTCATTTGAATCGCTATTAAAATAAATGGTTTATAAAAATAAATGAATTGTAAATAAATTAAAAATTGAATAATTGATATATAGATGAAATGAGTGCTAAATATTCTTAGAAATATCTCAAATACATTGAAAATATTGTATTTTTATAATATCTTACAATTATAATAAATATTTGCGAAAAGATTATGCAATTCTCAAACTTTTCAAAAGTATTGAAAGATTTGGTGACAATTATTGCAATAATTTTGGCTTTAAATTTTGATGTCATGTTTGAATGCCATAACATTTATTTAATACAAGTTAGATATGATTCAAAACAATTATAACATAATAGGGATTCAATTAATTCATTTCAAATCAAATTAAATCAATTAAAATCAGTATTAAGTAGTCATTTGACAAAACAACTCATTTCACAACCAATTATATGTTGAGCTCATTGTAAGACTTCACCAAAAGTTATCATCAAAATTGACTCAACATTTATCACAAGATTAATAAAATATGAATCAATTTCCACTTAAATACACAAAAAGCAATTAATTTCAACAAAATGTCTGAAATACTTAACAAATGAATTAATTAAAGCATTAAATGTAAAAAATTAGTGAATTGAATGGCAATGAAAGGCATGAGAAGTGAATACAAAGCCAATACTTATTACACATTTAGCTCCGATTCTGTAACAAATATTTGGCGCTAAATATTTCATACAAACTGTCGGTCTTTTTGTTAACACATATTCACACAAATTCAACACAACATTCACACCAATCAATACATATTACTCTCATATCCACTCAATTTACATGTCATTTACGAAAACAATTTAAATCATTCACTCATTTAAGTGCTATTAAAAGTGATTACAAAAAATATGAAATATAAAAGTGCTTACATTTATTAGCCCGAGTTGTGTGCCGTATAGTCAACACGTGTGTCAATGCGGTCACTAAATGATGTTCACAACACTATTAATACTAGTATTGAAAGCAAAACACAATCAAAATGTAATTAAATTGTAATTTCAATGAATGGTTAATCGAAACAATACTTTGAGTCAATGATTAACAGAATTGCCACAAATAGTGCTAATTATGAGTAGAGATGTCGACCGACTATTACAACACAATAACCGGAATAGAGTTGTATAGAGTTGTAAACGTGTAGACAATTGCCGCCAAACGTGTGTTGCCATCGATTCCTACGATTACCGGCATTCGTGTTGAGCTTAACATTGAACTCAACTTTTGTGCATACATTTGAGTAAACTCTCCAAAGCCTATCAAATATTCATCTTATATGAGAGTATGGCATACATTATGGCATACATTCACTGTTCACTTGTTTCGTAACAATGAGGGGCAGAGGGAGGGAGAGGTGCAGACAATGAAGGGGTAGAGCCAGAGGGGCACAGAAGGGGCAAATGGAGAGAGGGGTATGAAAGCCAAATTGAGATGGTAGAATAGGAATATTTATATTCACATTAACTTATGAACATTGCAGTTTATTGTCCTAATCTTACACTATAGTTTTGTAACAATCTATGTCATTTGATATTATAAAAATTCAATTTACTGTTAAATGTTTATATGCAATGCTTTTAGTCACTAAAATTTAGTGTAAAATGATACATGTAGAATATTTTCATTCATTCATTTGGGCAAAACTGTTTACATTCACTATTGGTGTTACCATTTGTTTATTTGTATTAAATTTAATATCAAATATAGAGAATATGATAACTTTGAATGCATATAATAGGAAACCAATGTTTACATTATTGGTTCCGACGATTACATGCAAACAATTGATATAAAATATATAAGTTTTAAACACAAGAATATTTTATTTTCAAATTAATTATACAATAAATAGTGAATGAATTTGAGTAAACGAAGCGATTGTAAATAAAACTAAACAAAAAAATGACAACAATAATGATAACAACGATGTGATGATTGTGTCAATCGCTGGAATAGTCTTCCTCTTCGTCTTCGTTGTCATCAAATGAAAGTAAACTCGAATTGCGGACACTTTTTGTCTCATTTTCTTCGAGTCTTTGTTTAATAATCGCATCGTTTTTACTCTTAGCCAACGATTTGTTGTTTTCTTGACTTTTGTCGGGCTTTTTGAATACAATTTTTCCGTCATTGATATCCTTTTCCTCCTCTATTCATAAATCATTACAAAACGTTAAAACCATTCATTAATAAACCATTAATTGTTTCAAAACAATCACCTTTTAAACGGCTCTCTTCCGTAAGTTCTTTCACTTCATCGGCGGTCAGATCGCCGTCTTTGAGGACAACAATGACGGGCTGTTCCTCATCCCTGTCCTCGAGGTCTTCGGAGTCGGCTTTCGGTAAGATTTCTTTCTATGGGTTTTGCATTTCGTTGACACAAATGGTTATGAAATGTAAAAAACAAAATAATCTCATGATTTAGTGACAAACTTTTGTGTCGATCTCAGGACCAGCTGTGATGCCGGCCCTGGCCTTCAACTTCTTGATGAAGTCGGGCTCTTCGGGTCGCGAGAACGCGATATTCCTCTTCCGACCCGACATTCAGACCATTGAATCGATTGTCAAAACACTTCTTCAAGAGATGTGACAACAAAAACAAATGTGAAAAACATATGAAAAGGGGTTGTATTGTAATCGCAATGAGAAGTGCACTCAATAGCCGGCAATAGTGTTGTGCAGTGTTTGAGGTGTTTGTGGTGTTTGTCCGTCAGATGTGGTGAGTGTTGCCATTGAATGGATTGGATTCAGTGATTGACTCAAATATTATTGTCTACCAAATCGTGGGACTGAAGGCATGGCCACCAACTCGGCTGCAGGTAATCGCCGCTCACTTTGACCACACTTTCGGCACACAATTGTCGCTCACAGACACGAAGACACGGACACACTGTCTGATGGCTAACCACTGACAAGAGTGGCTCATGTGATACAGAGATGTGAAGTGTTTTGTGTGTTGAGTGTCAGACATGCAGTCAATCAGTCACTAATCGTAACGAAACGATTGATTCGCCATTTTATGGCATAATTGTTGATATTGTTTGACATTTGAATGGTTTGAGCGATAATTGTGGTGAAGAAGTGATGGCGAGTGACGACTGGGTGTATAGATAATGGGTATATATGGGCTGAATTTGTATTGTCTGTATGTATAGGTGTAGTGATTCCCCGTAATTTCCGTCTATTGGAGGAGTTGGAGCAAGGTCAGAAGGGTGTGGGCGACGGCACCATCTCATGGGGTCTGGAGGACGACTCGGACATGACTCTCTCGCACTGGACCGGAATGATCATCGGTCCCCCACGCGTATGACTCACCCGCCCCTCCCCTACCCCTACCCCCGCCCTAACACTTGTCTGTTTTGTGTTGTGTTTGCAGACGCCGTACGAGAATCGGATCTACAGTCTTAAGGTTGAGTGCGGACACAACTATCCCGACGACCCGCCGGGCGTGCGCTTCATCTCCAAGATTAAGATGACTGGCATTAATGAGGCGACAGGACTGGTATGTATGGGCAGTGATGTGTTGGTGTGCGGTATGACTGAAGTGTATGATTGATGGACAGGTGGATCGGCGGACACTTCCGGTGCTCTCTCGTTGGCAAAGGAATTACTCGATTAAAACGGTGTTACAAGAGTTGAGACGCGCGATGACTCTTAAAGAAAATATGAAATTAAGTCAACCCCCAGAGGGGACCGCCTTTTAATTGTAATGTTTAATAAGTAATTTTATAGTCATCTCTTGTTTTAGACATCAAACGAACGGATAATTAATTGTAATATTATATTAAATCCATTCCTATTTGAGACTCAATTATATATGAAAACACAAAATATAAACTCAAGAAATTTAATTGATATTCAAATTAATTGATAATAAGGCGAGAAATTTGTGACAAAAAACTGATAACAAAAATATCCGATTCTATATTTTAATTGTGAACTTAAAAAATTAAATAATGATTTGTTTCAATCGTTTTCATGCGATTGTTAACGAAATAATTGAATTGAAATTAACGTTAATTTCATTATTTTCTTAATTTCGATATGATTTCAAATTTCATAAAACAATGAAAAATAAATATGTGTTGAATTGATGTACAGATTCTCAATATAATAGTCTTCACAAGTAATACACGAAAAACAAACAAATTATTGAATTTTTGTATGAATTTTATTTTAAAACAAACATAATTAAGAAAATGATAAAATATCTGAAAAATTAATTTATAATTTAATACGTTTTTACAAATGAATGGATAGAGAAAATTAAATGCAGTGTTTTTAAAATATCTATTTATCATTATTTTTATTAGAAATTTTCATTTTTTCCAATTTATTCGGCCGTTAAGTACTATTAATAACTAGTTTTAAGTATACAAATACAAAGATTTATTGATATTTTATTATTAATACGAGTCGACAATAAAAGACATTTCAAATCAAATGTTGGCTTTTATTTGTTTTGTAAATTTATTTCACCACTCAATCAGTGTTTGCCTCAAAAAATGTTCAATAGTTTTGTGACAAATTTGAATATTTGTAATAAAGATCTCATCCATCGCTGCGGGAGTTCTGAGTTCTTCTCGTTTTTACTTTTTGGAGAAGTCTTTAGATATGTTTTGCACCAAAAATATGTCATTACTTAACGATTGTGGAGTCAAATGAATTGATGTGACGATAGATTGTATGTTAGAATAGTGGGGGAGAAGTGAAGTATATTTTCTTAATATTTTCTTAACTTTCGCTTCACTCGAGCGTAACATTAGATGAATTGAAGGAAAGCATCGATTTATGAAATCATTGCTCCGAAAAACTTGTTGTTTATAAAAACAGACCGAAAATGTGTTTTTATAACTCCGATAATGTGTAACGAAAATACAGTTAAGAGACGCATAAATGCCTGGCATTTGGTCCCAAAGTTTTGAAACATTTTTTTGGGGCTAAACGAGAGGATGTGTTTGGGATAAGGCTTACAATGTGTGTGTAATATGTGTTAGTCATGAAAAAGTTGTGATTAGAAACACAAACAAAGTGTTGGGAAGGGAGGGAGGGTTGGATGGGAGGCATTGGACGGCAATATGCAATACATCCCTTTGTAAGCAATACATTATGACAGGAGTACTGGAGTATGGGATGCAATGGTAAGCAATGGTAATGCTATGACAGCACACACACAGAGTGCGCGCCATTGATATCAATGCAAATCCATTAGGCGTTAGGCTTAAGGCTGGCGTTCATATGACTCCCGACTCAACACTTTTTGTCATTAGTTTTTCATCGAAAAAGTGATTGTTTTAAATCATATAATTTGTTGACAATCGTGTTGTCATCTCATCTATTATCTCATCGTTTGTTTCGACAATACTTTTGCACCAAATATTACACAAGAAATGCAAAAAAATGGTAAGTTTTGAATGTATTGTACAATAATTTTCATTGTTTTAGTTATGATTGCATGCATTGAACGCATAAAGCATTGGATGTTATGTTTTATAAACGCTTTTACTCTCTATTGTCGCCAAAAATACTGTTTTTTTTTCATTCAATCAATGAATGAATCACTCATTCATTCATTTCTCTCACAAAATACTCTTCAATTCATTCAACAATTGATTGATTTTTATCTCAAAAAATAAAATTTATTTTATTTTAATTTTTCCAAACTTTTGCATTGATTTAATGGGCTCGGTTCCAGTTTCCCGTCTTTTCGATTTAGCCCACCAACATATATATTTTTATAACCAGCACATATAGCCCTCCAAAAAACCCTCTGGGCACACCCCTCCCAGACCTCCTTTTTTAACCCCC